TCGATGCCATGACCGGAGTCCCAGGCTCGAGGCCATGATTGAGGCCATGACCGGAGTCCCAGGCTCGAGGCCATGATCGAGGCCATGACCAAAGCCAGGCTCGAGGGCCACGATCGAAGCCATAATCGAGGCCCAATTCCGAAGGCTGCCTGGGCAGTTTTATAAAAGAGGGCATTCGTCCCATTTGCCACTTTTTACGAACTTGAGCTTAAGTAGAGGCGACTTTTGGCAGATTTTCAAGGAAAAAATATTGGGGTAAGTGATTCTAACTCGGATTTGGTCTACATATAGAAGTATATCATTGTTTCACCATAAATTAGTGTTTTGAGATTTAAATTTGGGAAACTTTTAGAAATCTCATAAAAATGAACTTTTGAGATTTCAGTATCGATTTAGAGTCGGATTTGAGTAAAACTGGTATGGTTGGACTCGTAATTGAATGGGTTGTCAGATTTCATAACTTTCACTGGATTTCAAGATGTGGGCCCCACAGACGAATTTTTATTTAATTTCGGAATTTTATTGAAAATGTAGTATTTTCTTAATTAATTGATTCCTATAAATTTTAGTGATTGTATCGAATTATTCTTGGTTAGATTCGAGCCAATCGAAGTTGGATAATAGGGGAAAAGGCCTACTAGTCGATTAAATTGGAGCAAGACGAGGTAAGTCTCTTGTCTAATCTTGTGAGGGGGAAATTAACCCATAGGTGATTAAATTAAATAATTGTTTCTAATTGTGGGGGCTACGTACGCACGAGGTGACAAGAGTCCGTGCGTAGCTACTATTAAATGCTAAAGTCCGGGTAGTTTAGGACTCCAAAGCATGAATTACTTGTGTAAATTATAGTCTTTACTTAATTAAATTATTTGATGTGTGTGTAATATATATATATNCTTATCTCATAATAAATATACCCTCCTTCCGGAGGTACATAAGAAAATGTCCTCCTTTCTTTTGGAGCGGGCCGAACGCCTTGGCAGGATAGATGCATCTATAGATCATGCCGCACGTCCCTAGACAGTGTACACGACACTCTGGATCGGGCCGTACGACCTCGACATAAATCATGCTTGATAATAATAATAATTACACGATACTTGGACAGTTTATTGCAACTTGTAAAGCTATTTGATAAATTGAAAATTTATTGAAATTGAATTGCAGCTTGTAAAGTTATTTGATAAATTGGAAGTTTTATTGAAATTGAAGGATTTAATTAATAGATTGGAAATTGTTGCATTTGAAGGATTTTTATTATTTCTGCTAATTGAATAAAATTATTGTTAACTCTATGAATCATGCTGATTTGAATAATTATAATTTATTCCATTTATTATTGTTGACCCTTAGTGAGTGTCAAAGTCGGCCATCTCGTCTCTACCACTTCGAGATTAGGCTTGATACTTACTGGGTACACGTTGTTTATGTACTCATGCTACACTTGCTGCACTTTTTGTGCAGGATCTGAGACAGATACTAGTGGAGGACCTATCATCGCACATCCTTTTCATCCAGGGGCGTAGTGGTGAGCTGCCTTTCTGAGCCGTCCTGCAGCTACCAGTGCCTCTTCTTGTATTTTTTAATTCTATCTATTTCCATTTCAGATGGTATTTGGAGTTTTGTATAATCTACTAGATGCTCGTACACTTGTGACACTAGGTCTTGACACACATTGGTAGAATTTGGTATCTTATTATTTTTCTTGGATTTAAATTTTATCGATATATTTTTAATTTATTAGTTGGCTTGCCTAGCTATACTATTGGGCGCCATCACGACCTATAGGTGAAATTGGGTCATGACAACATAGTATCAGAGCACTAGGTTCACGTACGTCTCACAAGTTATGAGCAGACCTAATAGATTCTTGCGGATCGGTACGAAGACGTATGTACTTATCTTCGAGAGGCTATAGGGTGTTAGGAAACTACCTTTCTTCATATTCCATCGTGCAATTAATGTAGTACTAAATATCCTTCTTTTATTCTCTCACAGATGGTGAGAACGCGCTCTAATGAGGTTCCATACCAGGAAAGAGTGGCTCCCCCAGTTGCTAGAGGCCGAGGCAGAGGCCGAGGGAGGGCTCCAGCCAGTGGTAGAGGGTGAGGACATCCCAGGACTGTTCCAGTTATGCCGCCAGTGGGTCTAGCAGAGGATCCCATTATTGAGGAGCAGGATGAAGTGCTTGTGGCAGAGCCAGCTCCGGTGGATTTCACATCTGCGCCGGGATTCCAGGTTGTTATGGGTCGTATGCTGCGGTTCATGGACAATATGACTCAGGCCAGTTTATTTCCGGCAGACCCAGCCACATCTCAGGCGTGCGGGGGAGCACAGACTCCGATCGCGCAGGCTCATGGACAGGCAGCTGTTGTATATCAGACCCGGGGTGCACTACCCGTGGGTGGAGCCAAGCCAGTGGCAGTAGCTACACTTGAGCCCAGGCCAGCTGTAGCCGCTGATCCGTAGAAACTATTGGACAGATGGACTAGACTACATCCTCCTGTCTTTCGGGGTGAGCGACATGAGGACCCCAGGATTTCATTGATCGGTGCAAGGATAGACTGTACAACATGAGGATATTGGAGTCTCATGGGGTAGACTTTGCTACTTTTCAGCTAGAGGGCAGAGCCCGTAGATGGTGGCAGTCTTATGTTCTTGGCAGACCAACAGATTCTCCTCCTATGACTTGGGACAGGTTTACCCGTATCTTCCTGGACAAGTATATTCCACCCTCCTAGAGGGAAGAGTTGAGGTTTCAGTTTGAGCAGCTCCAGTAGGGTCAGATGTTAGTGACCGATTATGAGGCGAGGTTTTCTGAGTTATCTCGCCATGCACTTATGATACTTCCTCTTGAGGAGGAGAGAGTGTGGAAGTTTGTTGCGAGTTTACATACTGGCATTCAGGCCACTATGGCTAGAGAGGTTGAGATGGGTACTTCTTATGAGCTAGTCATGGAGATAGCCCACAGGATTGAGGGTGTACGTCAGCGGAGCCGAGAGCAGGTTATGAGAGATAAGCGGTTCAGGTATAGAGTTCAGAGGTTCTCCGTCTGGGGGCAGAGGTCAGTTCGTGAGAGGGCAGTCCAGCAGGCCTCCATATCCAGCACCACCGCTTCCTCGAGGTGCTCCAGTGTGACCTTATCTCAGTGCTATACCAGAGAGTTCTTATCGCCCACCAGCTATCCAGGTTCTCCTAGTGGGTATTCAGTTCCCCAGGGCCAGACTCTTAGTCAGCAGCCCATCGCACCAAAGAGTTGTTAAGAGTGCGGGGACCCCAGTCATATACGGAGATTCTGCCCCAGGCTGCGGGGTAGACTAGTGCAACAAGGTTAGCAGCCTATGCTTACCGGACTAGTTGCTCCACCGGTTGTCCAACCACCAAGAGGTGGAGGACAGGTGGGTAGGGGCCGTCCTAGAGGTGGAGGTCAGCCAGGCGGAGGCTAGCTAGTTGGCGCTCCAGCTCGGTTCTATATTTTTCCGGCCAGACCAGATACAGAGGCCTCAGATGCCGTGATTACAAGTATTATATCTGTTTGCGGCAAAGATGCCTCAGTATTATTTGATCCAGGATCTACGTATCCATACGTGTCATCTCTATTTGCTCCATTCCTGGATGTTTTTTGTGATTCCTTGAGTACTCTTGTTTATGTGTCCACTCCTGTGGGCGATTCTGTTGTTGTGAACCGGATCTACCGTTCCTGTATTATTACATTCTGTGGTTATGAAACTAGAGCAGATCTCTTATTGCTTGAGATGATCGATTTTGAAATTATTCTGGGCATGGACTAGTTATCTCCATATCATGCTATTTTAGATTGTCATGCCAAGACTGTTACCTTGGCTATTCCAGCATTGCCTAAGCTGGAGTGGAAATGTTCGTCTGTTATTTCATTTAATCGAGTTATTTATTTTATAAAGGCTCTACACATGGTTGAGAAGGGTTGTTTGGCTTATCTAGCCTATGTTCGGGATA